CAGCCAGCTGTGCTGGCTGGGGAATTCTGGGAGTTGAAGTCCACACATCTGAAAGTGGCCAAGTTTGAGAAACACTGCCTTAGATAAACACCAGCCCAGCACAACAGTCTTTCTGATACAAATATTAAAGGACTGTGAAGGACCATGTTAACTGTCATTTAAAACCACAATGATCTCCCCTTCTAGTTGCAAGTTCCAGGATGCCTGCTTCACAGGAATCTTTTCAGAACAGAGACAGCATATTTTAAATATCCTGCAATAGACAAAAAAGCTGCCACATCCTTGTAAGCACATTATATATTTGTATTCCTCTGTTTGTCGCATTTGTAGCCCATCTCTCTTCCAGAGTACTCAAGATGACATACGGGGTTCTTTTTCACACCCATCAACCATGTGAGGGAGGTTTTTTACACCTAGTAACCCTGTGAGGGAGGTTGGACCAAGATAATGACTGATACAAAGCCACTAAATCTGCTTCTTGACTGAGAGGGGTTCCTCTGACCATACGTTGCACTCATGCACAGGCCAAGCAACAGGGCTGTTAGACACACACCATTCACAAGCAATAATGTTAGCAGGCACTGCTGGAACACTGTTATTTCAATCCTGACACCAGCAAAAGTAGTTAATTAGCCAGAAAGACCTCTGAATTGTGTCACCTATGTACAAGCAAGGCTCTTGGCCTTGTCACAAGATAGGAAACAAGCCAAAAAGAAATCACAGCTTCAGATTCTAGCTTCTAAGGAAAGAGAAAAAATCAGAAATCCCAATTTGCATGTAACACTAAGTACATCATAGGCAGAGCTTCTTCTCTGCTTGTCATTCCTGCCAATACATTTTTAAAATTCAGGTCTGTACCCAACTGCCTCACATCAGCTCTGTCTTCTGATATGTTGGAACTGAAGGATATTCACCCATTCAACAGCAGACCATCTCTGGAACTGCCTTCATTGCAATTGTTCCCTGAAACGTTTGGTTCTGAAGAGGCAACATGACAAACAGAGCCAGGAGCTTCAGCATTCTTTTTCCTGACAACGTGTGGGGCTGAGACTAGGGATAAAGCTTCAGTGCTGCTCGCTTCCCCCTAGATAAATGGAAAACTCCAGCAGCTGGTACTTAAATTTCATTGGAAACAGCTGCCTCTCCCATTTCATTATAAAGTTAGCAGGACCCATCTGAGAAGGTTTGGATCAGAAGGGTGATAGTGACGTTGGACAAAATAAAGATGAATAGCTCTATTAAATGCTGAGCGGTAATAGCCACAACATAATTTCTGTCCCGACAGCAGCTCCCCCTCCCTTGCTCCCTGTTCATCTGTACCACCTTCACCTCTGGAGAATAGCTAAAGAAAACAGATGCCTCACTGCCAGTGTTTTAGATGACAGCAACCGGGATAGGAAAGAAGCAGAAATGATAGCCTTGACATCTACTGTCTTCTGCTCATGCACGTAAACAAATATCCTGTCATTGTCCTCTGTAAGAAAGTACCTTCCTATGAACACACATGTACACATATAAGCAAATACACATCCTTTCACTGCTTCTCCTAAGACTGCAACCACACATTTCCTTTCACTGGCTTATCCAGAAGTCTGAAGAATATACCTACCTTGAATTGAGTTCCGTATAGGAAAAACATATGTGCTAATGCATATATGTCTGTTTTTCTGTAGTCAAAAACTTGTGTGCGTATGTATTCTTTTCTTCCTTCAGGTAGGAAAAGTACTAGTCCAAAGTCTCAAGTAAAATTAATGGGGTCTGAAATTCATACAAACATGCATAGTTCAGAATCTGCGCTGAAATCTGCAGTTTTTTAAAATCTGTAATGAGGTTTGTAACTCAAAAATGTGTGTACAAAAATGCACATATTGAAGAAAATACAGAAAACTGTTTATTAGGAAGAAGCATGCACAAAAACACATTAGGTTACAGAAAAATTGCTTGAAGAAGCTGTACTATACAGGTTAAATACCAGGAAAAGTGCATTCAAACATGGGTACAATAAGAAAATGGCATATAAAAAAATATACTAATGTTCATGTACATTCTGTTTGTCCCACTGACTATAGAAACTGATGCATAAATCAATCAAACAAATTTATAGTCATGAAAATGAGATAAACAAAAATGTTTTGCCCATCCCTACAGAATTAAACATGATCGATAGGTCTATATCCAACCACACTTTCCTTCCTGCCACTATAATACATCTCTGCACATGTCAAATAAGTCATTTTTCTGAATAATACAGTTACAATACTGATGATTCCCACCAATAATTTACTTTAATCAAATGCCAGTACAAATACAGTACTGCATATTAGGTTGTATCTGTCAGAAAAAAACATTATACTTAGCTCTGTGTCCTATACTTGCTGAAATGTCCATTTCTTATTTATAGCCCAACATCACAAGAGCCAATTGCAATAAGATGATCATGATGTTTACTGATGGAGGAGAAGACCGAGTGCAAGATGTTTTTGAGAAGTATAACGGACCCAACAAGACGGTGAGTGTTCAGACTGCATCTGAACTTGCCCTTGTGACATGACTATATTATCTCCCCAGGTGGGCAGCTGATATTGCTACAGCCATTTGTGTGTCTCTTCAAGTTCACTGTAAGGTTGGAGAGTAGTGTATCCAGATGGCCCATTTCACAAAGAGGTCCCAAAGGAACATTCTCTGTGCACTATAAAAATATAAGAAACCATCAGTGAAGGCCTGCTGAAGATACTTCCAACAGTATTAAAATGTCAGCATCAGATCCTTTTCCTTCCACAATCCAAACCAAACCATGGTACAGTTCCAGCCTTATCCTGTCTGGTAATGCCACTGCCATACTACTAACCACGCTCGGAGGCCAGAAATTGTATATTGGTCCCTCAAATGGTTGCCAGCTCCAGCACCATGTATCAAGTATATGAGCTTTTGAATATCAAGAATCTAAACAATGAGTAATAGGCAGAATACAACATAAAGTCAGGCACTTTACACATACACATATAAATGACATTCTTTCTTCACTAAATGTATAAAAATGCTATTTATATGCTTACTAGAAAATGCTAAGTCAGCTTATCAGACAGAAAAAGAACTCATGTTGGTGCATTTACTAGCTTTCAGACAGTAAAAAGGAAAACAATCTCTTCTGCATAGCCTCTAAATGAGAATAGACCCCTAAAGTTCCTAACCATCTGGACTCCTGAATTTTTTTTTAGAGAAGTTCTTGATTTTACCTGTGCTTCAGCAGAGCTGATTGGGGAAGTCTCCACTAGAGACATAATGAGACAGGATTTGTTTTACTCTTCTACCATGACAATTGCATTTACTTACATTTCAGATTCAACAAATATGATTAAGCTAATAAATTTGGTTCTGTCTGGGAGCCAGAAAAAGGAATTAGGTGAAATTCACAGATTTTCTGTTGACTGCCAGGAAATACCCAGCCAAATGAAAGGGTATGCAAAATAACAATAATAATACTTGAACACCATAGGCATTGACAAAGTCACCATCAGTCAATTGCAAAAGGCAGCTTTACTTGGAACAGCTTACATTCTGTGACCATACCTTTAACACCATCAAACAGCATCTGCCTATCCCAGGTCCATGGGAAGGACTTGATAGGAGGATAAAAATGCCAGATCTAGTCTAAATATCTGGCTGACTGTGCAACCAACAATAATAATCCAATAACAACTTATGAACACCTTCCTCTCCCCATTCTATGGAATTGTCTTGTTCTGAATGTCCATCCTTTGATTCTGATGGGTCTATTTTACAAAAAAATGGCTGTGCAGTGGCTAACCTTCTGAATGCCCCATATGGACACTTGACTTTTGCCAGGAGAAAAGACAGGTGAAGTCATAATTTGCCTCTCCTGTTCAACTGCATATACGGTGATATTCTTTCTCAGTGAGGATTTCTGCACGAGTCAGTGATAACACCAACATAACCAGATCTTTGAATATAGGATATAATACATGAATCAAGAAACACAACCAAATAATTGAAGACCCAGCTGTCTGACTTGCTTCAATTCAGGCATGGGGACAGGCAGGAGCGGCTAACTCAGGTTTTATCCGCCTCATTTGATACCAGCTATTTAGATAGTTGATCTTCCTGCCTGTCTGCTCCTGCACTGAGCCACTGCCCCTTTAATGGGGCGTCTAACGTGCTGGCACTGGTTTTATTGCTTGCACTGACCTTGAAGTGCCAGAAGGAAAGGTGGACAGAACTTCCTTTGAAAGTTTGTATAGGCTGTTGCTACAAGAAAAAGAATACCTTCTATTAATACTGCTGGATTTTGGAGATATTCCATCAAAATCAACTGTATGGGGAAACATCAGCCTGCTAGTGGAAGTTCAAGTCAAATGGCTTAGACTCAAAGTAGCATAACTTCTTTATTCCTCACATTCACATCCTTTCTTCCTCTTCATACAAACAAAGGATATGATTATATCTCTTTTTCATTTTTGGAGAGGATACTCTTATTCAGCATGATTAGTGGGAAGTTTGTAGCCCTCCAGATGTTGCTGACTACAAATACCAGCAGTCCCCAGCCTCTTCTGTGCCATGAAAAAGAAAAAAAATTTCTAGCTTATATATGTCTTGTCAATGCAACTAATAGTGGGCATCAGAAGTAGGACAATTGCCATGATTCCTTAAAAACTCATCCTCAGTTTTTTTAATATCTAAATTTAATTTCAGTGCATGTATACAATTGAGGATGGAAATTGACAGTGAGGACCTGTTGATTGGAAAGGTGAAAGTGAGGATTAATTTGACATCCCCTGAAACATTTTAGAGAGGGCAAGAAAAGGAGGACTCCAGTATTTTAATGTTCAGAAGCAGAAGCCAAATCAGTTTGCCAATTGATTGGCTCCAGGGAAAGGATTCAATTTATAAAACTCAAATTCTGCAAGGAGGAGATGATAGAAGTTGTAATCCAATGTGGCTAGAAAGGCCTCATATTTTGAAAGTCTGAATTACAGGGATTTCCTCCAGACAATACTCTATCCATAATTCCCAGTAGATGAAGAGGAGGGAGAAAGTACAAAAGACTTTCCTTTACCTTTGCCATTTCTATAGGAGATGTGTAATGATTGGATGAAGAGAGAAAAAGAAGTGTATCTATATAGTATATTTATATACTACTGATGACAAATATAAACCAACATAACATCAACATAAAATACTCCCCAAGTAAACAACAATAAAACTATAATAACAATAACAAGACAAGATTAAAAACGAAGGTAAAAAGAATAAGAGCAATTGTGGGTGCCAACCTTGGTCTAATCACTGCAGCGTTAATACTCTAAGACTATATGGAAAAGTTCCATAACAGCCTCTTGAAACAATGCTGGGGAGGTGCCAACTGAATCCCTCAGAGGAAAGCTGTTCCACAAGATGGGAGTCACCACAGAAAAACAGAGTTTGCCCTCCCACCTCACTGATGTGGGTACACTGACCACCCCTACCTGGGATGAGCTGGTTCCAACTGGTGATAGCAGGCCTGAACCTACCCGGAAGCCAAGCCATGTAGAACTTTATAGGTGAAAACCAGCATTTTGAACCATATCCAGAAACCTCCTGTGCTCACAGTACAGGCGCTGGGTGGATACCACTGGTGTCACTCACCAACATGCAGGCTGCTGCATTTTGCACCTGTTGCAGTTTCTGAGTAATCGTGAAAGGCAGCCCTATCCAAAGCACCTTGTCTTAGTCTAGGGATGATGAAGTCATGAGTGATCTTGCCAAAGCTAGATGTTGGCATATCCAACGTAGCTGCAGAACTATTTCCTCTGTCTCCCCGCTCCAAGGGAAGGAGGATGAAATTGGAAATAAGAGAAGAGAAGCTGGAGGGCAGAATTGCCTTTCCTTCTTTCCTCCTCTCTTGTAATTCCTCTTAGGCTCCTATTTCTGCACAGTTTTTCAACAGCACTTCATGTATTATTATGGGGCTTATGTTTTTTTTTCCCCTTGAATAAAGTGGGGGAGGGGGGATGTCCTTCCATAATGTATCAAATCTATTTTTCTTGACAAGCAGGCTTTTCCTCTTAAGAAATGTGGAAGCATGTGAGCCCTGATTAAGACAACCAGGCAAATTCATTCTTTCTTTGATATGAAATTGAGCAACAGTGCTGTTACATAACAATGCCTACAATCATTTGGTTTCTTCATAAATATGATCCAAAGTGAATAAAATAGTTTTCGCTTCGTTGGATATGGGTATACAACAGCTGCTTGAAAATGCATGGCCAATAGCCATCATGCATATGGTTTAGTTTTTGTCACAAAACTGCCAAAAAGATCAATTAGTGAGCAGCAGAATCAAATCAATATGCTCCTGCATTTTCAGGCCTTTTTTCCTACAACTACTCCAGGAGTTATGGGAATTGACCTTTGGTTAAGGACATCAACAGCTCAAAATTGTCAAAGGTTCTGTGAGTCATCTTGGGCATTTTGGAAAAAGCGGGATACATATGTATGGATGCAACATTTCTATTTTACAAATTAAATGGCACATACACAAATTATAAAAAAATAAGATCCTGAGCAGAGGGTTATAAATTGCAAATCAGGGTTCCTTAAACTATACTACTGTCAAGTACTATTCTCTCATAAGAGGTTTAGGGAAGCAATATGAAATGTATAGTAGTCTCTTGAAAATTCCTGCTTATTGTTGGCGTCCTCAGCATACCGGGTGACACTGGTGCCCAAGATTATTTCTTTAATTATTTCGATTTATATGCCTGCCCATCTCACCAAGGCAACTGGTGGAGAAAAACACAGTTAAAAACGTCAGTATAACAAGACAGAGAGAGAGATAAACCAATGCAAAAAAGCAAAAAAAAAAAAAAAAAAAAGGGGGGGACTGA